CGATGTTGGTGCTGCTGCTTTGGGTTGAGCTCTGCCCCTACCTCTGCCTCTAACACGGCCTTGACCTTGCCCTCTTCCCTTCGTGGGAGCTGCTGCTGGGGGCTTGGGCTGCTGGTCAGTGGATGAGGAAGTGTGTGTTCTCGCCATCTGCAAAAGAATAGAGTAGAAATTAAATTAGCATTAAGAGACCAAAGTGCATGATAGGAAAGAATAAATGTGAAGTTTTCCTAACTCTGTAGCCTCTGGGGATAAATACAGACATATCTGTACCGATCCCTCAGACTCTACTAAGCTTGTCTGTGAACTGTGAGACCCATGTAACCTAGAGCTCTGATACCAACTTATCACGACCCGAATTTTCCACCCTCGGGAGTCGTGATGGCACCTACTAATATGAGCTAGGCAAGCCAATTATTAGACAAATTACCCTTATACCAATTTTTATTCTCTTTAACATTATATAAAATAATAACGTGTAAACAGCGAAAATTTAGTATAAGCGGAAGAAAGCAATAAAATATCTGAACATGCGTCTATTACAACAGCTTAAACCTTAATCACCTAGAACTGGTGTCACAGTACCACACATGGTCTAAGACTACTAAATACAAGGTTTGAAAATAAAGACACACTGTTTCTGAAGCAAAGAGATGAAATAGGAAATAAAGGATAGAGGAGACGCTAGGGCCTGCGGACGCCTGCAGGTCTACCTTGGATCTTCGCGTGGACTGAAGTTTGCCTCCAAACTACGGTCCAAGAGCTTCTTCGGGATCTGCACATAGTGCAGAGTGTAGTATCAGCACAGCCGACCTCATATGCTGGTAAGTGCCTAGCCTAACCTCGGTGAAGTAATGACGAGGCTAGGACCAGACTACCAAATAAACCTATGCAGTTATATAATATACAGCGGAAAGTAAAGCAGGAATAAACAAGTAAAGATGGGAGGGGGAAAGCATGCTTCGGGGAATGACAGATAAAAACAGAATATCAAGAGAATTATAAAGGAACCAAAATCCAACTACTAACAAGGATAAGGGAAACAAAGGCAGAATTCACTTTCATTTCACATCTTGTTGCAGGCGTGCAACCCGCTCCCATTTCATATATCTCATGGCAGGCATGCCACCCGCTCCCATTTCATTCCAGCTATGGGTGTTATCATGGTATCAGAGTTTGCGTCGCAAGTCTCCGGCCTCTGTATACTTTCAATTCCCTTCAATTTTGGAATTGAATCATCTCTACTTGTGTTGGGTTCAAAACTAGGGTTGTGTAATTTGAACAAATTTTCTGCAAATCAGAGCAATTGTGCAATATCTTTGAGCTTATCTACAATTTCCATGGCAATTGGCGAGGAAACCAGTACCACACCAGTCGGACCTACCATAGGAACTTCTGAGGATACAGATGTTCCCATTCGTGGTAATGTCTTCCCTAAACCATCCTCTATACCTACAACTAACTGACACTCCAGGTAGCTCCTTAATCTCTTTTCAGTTAACTGTATTTGGGAACTATACCATTTGGAGTAGATCTATGAGAATTGGATTGTTAAGTAAAAGCAAACTAGGTTTTGTTGATGGCATATTCCCTAAGTCTAAGTTTGAGCGGGAATTACATGATCAATGGGAGAAGGTAAATGTTGTAATATTGTCCTGGATCATGAATGTTGTAAGACCAGGACTGTTAAGCAGTGTAGCGTATGCTTCAAATGCACACAAAGTATGGGAGGACTTGAAAGAAAGGTTTGATAAAGTGAATGGTGCTAGGGTGTAATATCTGCATAAAGAGATTCACTCTCTTACTCAAGGCACAATGACTGTTACAGACTACTTGTCTAAACTCAGAGACCTTTGGGATGAGTTTGATGCTATAATGCCATGTCCTAGTTGCCCATATCCTGAGTCAAGGAAGTATCTTGAGCACTTTGAGTATCAAAGATTAATGTAGTTCCTAAATGGTTTAAATGAGTATAGCCAAACAAGGAGTCAGATCATAATGATGTATCTCGCTCCATCTATAAATAAGGCATACTCAAGAGAGCCAAAGAATCCTTGCTAATTTCACACAAGTCTCACAGGTCACTGAGTCAATAGAAAGCTCTGTCGTGTTCAGCAATAAGGGTGGAAACTATGCTGGCACCAATTTCAAACATGGACAAAAAAGAAACAAACCTGTGTGAGTACTGTCATCTGAGGGGCCACGCTAAGGAAAATTTCTATAAGCTAGTTGGATATCCACTAGATTTCAAGTCCAAAAGGAGAGGAGGAGAAAATGGAACTGGTAACTCCTATGCAAATCAAGTTGGCTGGATGACATCTTTTATACGAGATGTAGCATGTGGAGTCAATGGTGCAGCCAACAGTATTGGACAACTTAGGCAACAACCACCTGTCAGGGGAGGTTTCACATCTATGGCATCACCAGCAGCTCAATAACAAGCTCTTGCAGCCTTCTTCATACCAGAGTAGTATCAGCAGATCATTCAAATGATTAATAAGGGATCAGATGAAGGATCATCAACCAAATCAGTAGCTGCAGGTACAGAAACAGATCTTATGCTTATCTATAGTGATAGAGAATGGATTGTGGATACATGTGCATCTAACCACATGGCCTCTAGCTTACAAATGCTAAAGGCATACAGATTAGTACCAAAATCAGACAGGAGCAAAGTGCATCTACCTACAGGAGGTGTAGTATCAGTTACACACACAGGATTGGCCTTTGTGTTTAAGAACCAAGACATATTTAATGCATTGTACATACCTGAGTTTAAGTTCAATCTTCTCTTAGTATCCAAACTCACTAAAGAACTGAAATGCTTGGTAATATTCTTTCCTGACTTCTGCATCTTCCAGGACCTCTTCAATGGATAGGTGAAGGAGATTGGTAGGGAGAAACATGGACTATATGTGTTGAAGTAGAAGCAGGCGAAGGCCTCATATCAGGATTCCATACAACAAGTGATTAATAACACTAACACATGTTCTATGAATAAGAATAGTATTGTTTACATGTCTGCTATATCAGATTCTAGTAGTCTATGGCATAAGAGACTAGGTCATGCACCATTAGAAGTAATAAAGAAGCATGAGTTGCTTAGACATTTGAAATCTGATACTCATCAACATTGTACTGTCTGTCCTCTTGTAAAACCAACAAAGTTGCCTTTTCAGCTGAGTAATAATATGTTTGCCTCTGCTTTTGACTTACTGCACTGTAATATTTGGGGACCCTACAGAGTTCCTACTATGATGGCAAAAGATTTTTTGTCACAATAGTAGATGACTACACTAGGTTCATTAAGATATTTATCCTGCACTCTAAGTCTGATACTATAGTAGTTCTTAAGGAATTTTTTGCTAAGATTAAAAACATTTTCAGTTCTTCTGTTAAGATACTCAGAACAAACAATGGTAGTGAGTTCTTTAGCACTAATTTCAAGGAATTCCTATCTATTCTTGGGATTGAACATCAAAGTATATGTGTGTATACTCCCCATTAGAATGGAGTAGCAGAAAAGAAACACATAACTATCTTTGAAATAGCTAGAGCATTGAGGTTCCAGGCAGGCATCCCTCTTAGATTTTGGGGTGAATGTGTCAACACTGATGTCTATCTACTAAACAGGCTGCCATCAAGAGTCATCAACGTCAAATCCCCATTTGAGATGCTTTATTTGCATGCTCCCTCTCTGAGTCATCTAAAAGTATTTGGCTTTCTCTGCTATGCAGATATGTGCATGGATAAGTTTGCTTCTAAAGCCATCCCAGAAGTACTTCTGAGCTATTCTTCTATACAAAAGGGATACAAACTATATGATCTCCAGAACAAGACTTTATAGTAAGAAGAAATGTGGTGTTCAAAGAGGATGCCTTTCCCTTCAAACATTTGAAGTCTGCAGGTACACTTATATTTCCAGTTCTGGACCTGCTAACATCAGCTGAATCTACTGAGAGATGTCTCCAACTCTCACAAATCAGCCCAGTCCTATAAATGATTCAATTAAGGGGGAGGTTTCATCATCTCCTCAGGTTCCGGAACAAGTCTCACATTCACCTGCAGATGTCAGTCCTTTACCTGAACCATCCAACTCTATGGAGCTCAAAAGATCTTCCAGACCAAGCAAACCACCAGTGTGACTACATGATTATGTCACTATACCAGTGTGCAACTCTTATGCATATCCTATTTCTTCATATGTTACGTACTCACACCTGAAGCCACTTTATCAGCACGTGTTGGCTCTTCACTCAGCTGTATATAAACTTAAGACCTTCAGAGAGGCTGTTTCTGATTCTAAGTGGGTGCAGGAAATGAAGCAGGAAGTTGTAGCACTGGAAGACAATAACACTTGGGCTATTGTAGATTTTCCACCTGACAAGGCTCCCATCGGATGCAAGTGGATATTCAAAGTCAAATATAGAGCTTCAGGAGAGATTGAAAGATACAAACCCGAGCTAGTGCCCAAAAGGATACAATCAGAGAAAGGGTCTAGATTACACTGAGACTTTCTCCCTTGTGACTAAGATGGTGACTATTAGGTCCATCATTGCTTTGACTGTCTCTAAACACTGGTTGATCTACCAAATGGATGTCCACAATGCGTTACTCAATGGTGATCTCCTTGAGGAGGCGTACATGCATAATCCTAAAGGTTTCTTTTGCAAATAGGGGGAGACAAATAAGGTCTGCAAATTGCACAAATCACTGTATGGGCTTAAGCAGGCCCCAAGGCAGTAGAACATGAAACTAATCGAAGCCCTGGTAAAGATGGGATTCAAGCAGAGTCACTTTGACTATTCTCTGTTCACTAAAAAAATAAATGATGACATTGTGGTTGTCCTAGTGTATGCAGATAATTTACTCATCATATGTACCCATCCCAATCAACTAAATGAGACAAGAAGTGATCTGCAGACCAGCTTCATAATGAAAGATCTTGGTGAGTTGAAGTTCTTCCTGGAGATTGATTTTCCAAGTCTAAGAAAGGCATAGTGATGAATCGGAGGAAGTATGCCATGAAATTAATCTCTGAATCTGGCCTAGGTGGAGCAAAACCTGTTGGAACCCCACTTGAACTGAATCAGAAACTAACTTCAACAGAGTATGACAGTTGGATGAAAATCAATGCTGAGGATGAGATGTTAAGAGACCCTAGTAGCTTTTAAAGGTTAGTTGGAAGACTACTATATCTTCATGACCATACCTGACCTATCCTTTACAGTGCAAGTTCTTAGCCAATTCATGCATTGTCCAAAGGTGTCACACATGGAAGCTGCCCTCAGAGTGGTGAGGTACATCAAAGCTGAACCTGGACTTGGTCTGCTTATGCCTGATGACAACACAAATAAACTTACAACCTATTGTGACTCAGACTGGGGAGCTTGCCTACAAACAAGAAGATTAGTCATTGGCTACTTAGTCAAGTTTGGGAATGCCCTTATATCATGGAAGTCTAAGAAACAGGACACTGTTTCCAGGAGCTCAGTAGAGGCTGAATTTAGAAGCATGGCTACATGTGCAACTGAAGTGACCTGGTTGATAAGGTTGTTTGAAGAATTTGGTGTGAAGTTAGAATTACCTGTTAATCTCTTATGTGACAGCAAGGCAGCTATTCAAATTGCTACCAACCCAATCTTTCACGAGAGGACTACACACATACACATAGACTACATTTTGTGAGGGAAAAGACACTACAAGAAAATTGCGTATTACATGGGGATTTTCTTGGGAATTATAAAAGAAAATTCACATGTAATTCAGTTTCTTGTGGATTTTCCTTCCAAAAAAAATTCGATGAAAAAACCTTCGTAGGTAATTATTACTTGCAGATTTTAAAAATCCCCAGATAAATTACTTGGAAATTTTGAATCCGCATGTAAAATAGCTGGGGTTTTCAGATCCACATGTGAATTACTTGCGGATTTTTTGGTATATTTTACCAAAAAATCGTACGAAACTTTTGGAAAAATTTGATGAAGGATTGGAGTTTTCTTTGCGGATTGTCCTAGGAAAATATCTGCAAGTAAATCCCCAGTAAATTCTTTAAAAATTTTGAGAAATAAATCTATATTGTCCTAATATTTTTATTTTTAGAATTATTTTTTAATTTTTAGAATTATTTTTTAGTAGGGCAAATCTTCCAAATATATACTTACTTTTGTCTCAAGTATTTAACCCCCACTCAAGATACTATATAGCACCACGATATTATTATGCCTTGTTCCTATTACTAATTAGTATTTAGTAATCACATTAAATCTTGTTACTATATTATAGTACACTGTAAATTATTACTGCTATGTCTTCGTATAGACCTTAGATAGAAGCGTAGACCATATGGAAGACTATACTAGGTGAAGTCCATTACCGTCAGAGCTACTGGAATGAGCTCAACTTATAACGTGGAAAAGTTCACAAGTTTTAGTCGATGTGGGAGCAGAGGATATTCCAACTTTTCCTTCTCTTCCCATGGAGTATTTGTTTACTAATTTATTCCTTTTATTATTTGTTTCTTTCTTCTTCTTTTTTCAAAGAATACATTAAATAAGAATTTCATAAATTAAATAAAAAATTATTTTCAAGTAAAAACAAATGAATAAAATTATAATTATTTTTTAATTTAAAGATATTCTTAGTTGTTTTTCTAGAATTTCATTTATAATCATGATATAACTCATTAATTTTTTATATAGACAATACATTAACTAACAAGAACTAAACATATTGCACATTAATTAAGTAATTAGTAAGAATTGTTTCGCTAATTCCAATAATGTATGTAAGATTGCGTTATTTCAATAATATTAGAAATTAATCAAGAGATAATAATTTTAGAAAAAAAAAAACAAGATGACTTGATACTTAGGTTCCAATACTATATTTTACAAACTAATATTACTTAAGCAACATACTATAATTAAGTTTCAGCATTCTAACTATACATGGAAGAAAAATAAGACATGTAAGATAGAAAGTTAATAAAATTAGTTATATTTTATAAGTATAATTTAAATTTTTTTACCTAGAAATTAAACTTAAACTATTTACTTATTTGCAATTTAGTATATTTTCTAATGATATTAACTTTGCTATATCCTTTTATATCAGTCATATCATTAAAATTCTTAAAATAACTATATTTATGATAATTATTTTCTTATTTGTTCAAAAAATAATAACTAGTTACATTATGCTCAATGACTTGTAATTAAAACTTTCAACTTAGGGACTATGTGTTCCATTTCACTCCGAAATCAAAACCAAACACCCTGACAAGTTACAACACCACGATATAGCATAGAGGAAGCATAATTTAGGGGATCGGGGTTAAAATACTCATAATGACCGGCCGGTTCGTTACAATCTTTTTATATCAAACATATACAAAATTTAATTATTAAAATAATCAGATTTATGATAACTATTTTACTATTAAATTTGTTCAGAAACAATAATAACTGGCTATATTATGCTCAATGACTTGTATATTCAATCCAGCATATCTCACACAATTAAGTTTAATATAGGAACGACATTTTAACTATGTTCACTAATAAATAAATCGATAAAACATAAAATAGATATAATCAATACTGAAGGATTTATTTTACATATCTTGTTTTTGTAACATTTAAAAAAATATAACTTTTAAATTAGAAAATTAATTTTTTTCTTATATTTCAAATAATATTTTTAAAGTGTATTTAAAGAATTTCAAGCTTTAATATGTGGCTATAAAATTCTCAGGTAAATTGTCAAGTTACTATATCAACCTAAAAAAAACAACTATAAAATTCCCATATAAATTTCAAGAATAAATCCCTAATCAAAACCATATCAATGAAATACCCAGGTAAATTTGCAAAAATACGTTTCCACCTAAAATCACACAAATAATCTTCAATTAATTTTTTAGGTAATAAACATTTTAGGTAAATTTCAAAAATATATTTCCATCTAAACCTGCAATAATAAGATTCAAGGTAAAAAATTCTCAAGTAAAGTTCTAAGAAATAATTCAAGCTAAAATTGCAAGAACGAAGTTTCTAGGTGATTTTCTAGCTAATAAAATCTCCATGTAAATCCTCAAGAACAATTCCGAGCTAAAATCATAGCAATAAAATCTCCAAATTAATCCTTACGTAATAAATTCTCCAGGTAAATCCCTAGGGAAAATCCCCAACTAATATACAACAACAAAATTCCCAAGTACATTCGTAGGTAATAACATTCCAGGTAAATCCCCAAGGTATAATCCCCAGCTAAAATCGCAACAACAAATTCCCAAGTAAATCCCTAGGGAAAATTCCCCAATTAATATACAGCAACAAAATTCCCAAGTAATTTCGTAGGTAATAACATCCCCAGGTAAATCCCCAAGAAATAATCCCTAGCTAAATCGCAACAATAAATTCCTAGGTAAATCCCTAGGTAATATAATCCCTATGTAAATCCCCAAGAAATAATCCCTAACTAAATCCGCAAGTAACATTACATGGGGAAGTTCCTACGAAATTACAAAGGAAATAATTTTTTTTATATTTTTACCGTTTACCTGCGAAATTACCTACGAAAATGATATTTGGGGATTATTTTCTCAAATAAATCTCCAGGTAATATTTTGGCACTAAATGGCGCCAAATTTATTTGCGGATTTACCTAGGGAAATTGAATTGGCAGGTAAATATTTTAGAGTCTAGGAATTATTAGATTTTCGCATGAAAATTTGCAGGAATTATTTGCGGAAAAAATTCCCATGTAAAATTCCCATGTAATTTAATGTTTTCTTGTAGTGAGATCCTGCAAGGAGTGATGAGAACTGAGCACATACCTACCAAAGAGTAACTAGCTGAGTTGCTAACTAAAAGCTTGGGTAAGGTTCAACATTATTACCTACCGGAGAATCTTGGGTTGAAGAACTTGTTTAAGCCATCAGCTTAGGGGTTGTGTAGAAGAGTAGTGTGCTAGTGCAAGATGTGGCCGTAGAATACTATTATATTAAGCTGTATTATTTGTATAGCCAGTTAGTTAGTTAGGTTGTTAACACTGTAGAAAGGCAGTTAACTCTACTGTAGGTGTTAGTGTATAAATAGCTCTTGTACAGATACATTTCATTTTCAGAAGAAGATAATAGAAGTTCTTCACTTCTCTCAGAATTCCTCTCTCTAAACTCCTCTCGTCTTCTTCCCCATTCATCCTCATGGCTGAAGCTTCCAGTTATCAATATTGACTTTCTATCTCTTGTATATATGCTTAAGAAGTTTAGCAAGTGTATCCTTTTCGATCTATTGAAATCCATCTAATGAAGTCCAGTTTTTTGTTTAACATTAGTAAATAAGATATTACAAGTATATGGTTTTTTAGAAAATGCAAGAAGCAAACTTGAAATTGTGATTCCTTTGGCCCATTGAGAGGCGATGACTCGAGATTATACATGTAGGCTATGTTTTTGCTCACTTAAAATGTGATCTCTCTCGTATTTATGTGCTATCAAACTAGATCTTGGTCAGCTCTTAACAGCACACGATGCAGTCAACGCACAAACAATTGTCCTAGTATATTGCTATATGGCTCTATTACGTACCTTAACAACTCATTCAAGTTAGATCCCACCATGGTTTTAAGTTTGTATGTCTTGAACACAAACCAACAACTACATGTCCCTTAGTAATGGATCTTATATCCGAAGTCATTCATCATTGTGGTTACTGTCTAATCTATTTAGAAAGAAAGAATGCAGCTCAATAAAAGATCAATCTTATGTGTTTCATTCAGTAATGGAGCTGAAATCAAAGGGCATTCGTTTTATGCCTCGCGGGCTCGGTTCTTTGAAGGCTGTAAGGTTTACATCACATTGTTACCATCCGAAGCTCTCACTTCCATGTAGCTTATGTGATCTCTCCAGGTAGCTTTAATAATTATGCTGTTTCTGCTTACATATATTTCATGAGAACACTTATTATTTCACCTAATGATGCAAAAGACCTACGAGAAAAGAAGATTATATTCAACATTCTGGGAAGTGATGAACAAGTGGAACAAGTTTTCAGAGCATTAAACACTTACATAACTTGAATCAATATTCTTAAAAGGATGTCAAAGAGAAAATTGAAGAGCACTATAACAGCAAGTCGCAAACTTGGATTGCTGAATTGGTAGATACCTATATATTTTACAAGTCGCTGGTCTCTAATCACTTTGGTTGCTGCTATTTTTCTCCTTTTCCTTACTATTCTTCAGACCTACTATGCATCTCCATTTTTTTCTTCACCAAAAGGATCTTGATTTTAATTTGTTTGTCTGTATCATAATTATATATTGAACCGACGAATTAATCCTTCCATATGTCCATTTTCTGTATTGCTTTTTTGTGTTTTTCGTATGATTGTTAACAATATTAAGTTCATCAATATCCTTTTGAAGTTCACCCCTTTTTGTATTTCTTGATTTGCTTCCCATCCAAACTTGACATTCTATCTCTTGTAGATATACTTAAAAGGTATAACAAGTGTATCTTTTTCAATCATATAATATAATCCAGTTCTGTGTTTTAACCTTAGTAAAAAAATGAAGTGTTCTCCTTGTTATTATATCTCTAATCATATGAGCACAGGTAGAACAAGCCCCTTTATAACTTTTTACTTGGTGGAATTTAACACCATTTAGTTATGCATTTATGC